TATGTGGTCAGCATCACGCCGGCCGACTTTACTTCCCGGTACTGCACCCGGTACTCACTCAGGGCTAGGTCGACCTGGGAGTCAATGTCAGTTTTGAAAGAAGTCCGTCTCCGCCAGGGAGCGAACCCACGACCTTCCGATCCGCACGCAAGCGTCTTTTGCTCAGTACAGTCACATAACGCTGTGTACACTCTGTTTCGCTGTGATTAGTTGTCTGTTCTTAGAACGTTCTTCGGTGCAAGCTGGTGTGCTGAGAACTGAACACGTAGACAGACTGGCTGATTCATCCCTTTTGGTGGACAACCGATGCATGGCCTGGCAGGTCTACCTAGCGTCCTTGTTATCATAGACTCAGCTTCTCAAAGCCAGTTTTCAAAATTGACTTGGTCTTCAGTATCGTTCACTCCTGCACTGGGTCCCAGGAAATAATACAGGAAGTAAAGGCGGCGAGCAGGATTACATCAGTACCAGTGTGTCGATTCATTTCTAAGCAAATATGGCGCATCATAATATACCTAGTACAGACCAGAGCATTGAAGTTAGCACTATCACTTTTCACTTTACTTTTGTCAGATAGCCGGGGAATTCCTTCTCTGGTTATTTGTTTTGTTTATTATGGTTAAGTAAGATCTTTTTCATCAGTGTTAGTGTTAATTCTACTACGATTAAAAGATGTGTGCAGGCGGGACATGAATGATACAGGTATGAGGCGGACTCATAGGAACAAAATGCCATGGAACGTGTTATGTGGAAAGGGCATATCAGGAAGGAAATTAGAGTGAAGGAAGAAATGATTGCAGAAAGGATGAGAGATGAACGTATGAAAAGAAACGGATTAAACACAAATGTTGACAAATATGGTCCTGAAATCCCATGCTATTATTGTGGAAGATTTTTCTTGACACGGGCAGGTGTTGCTAGTCATACTCGCCATCACCATGGGCTGTGAGTCTCATGCCTCCTCATAGCGCAGTACAACACTATCGTCTGGAAAGAGGGAAAGGTGTCAATGAATGAGTGTTACTGCTATAGCTGGGCATCAAAAATCTTAACCTAAAGCGAGGGTTATTATGGGTTATTTTAGAACTAGAATAGTTCATGTGTCTGTCACATGTGATGAAAAATTTACGAAAATATACTTTTACAGTAATAATTCTAAGATAGATTATATACTCATTTCCCTTATCAGTTCTATTTTTTTTCGGACGGGGGGGGGGGGGGGGGTGTGTAACATTTGTCATCGAATTAGCACAAATACTTCCATGGGCACCGGAACATGTGACTATAAGTACCATAAACATCCCTTTTACCACCCCCAACCACCCACTCAAAATCTTTCAGGTCAGAACTTCCTCAATTTAGAAAGTTTGAAATGCTGCTAATGCTCTCCGTAACTATGCACAGAAGTTCTCTTTTTTAAGTAGAAGAACAATGCATTTTCATTTTACTGAATTAATATCTAGTCTTCATTGCTCTACCTACTTTTTAACTTTCTAAAGCTTGTTCGTTCTATTATCCTAAATTCTAATGTATATTTTTTCTACTGTCTTAATGTCTCATGTATATTTGTTCTACTGACTTTTTCTTACATGTATATCTGTTCTACTGTTTTAATGTCTCATGTATATTTGTTCTACTGACTTTTTCTTACATGTATATCTGTTCTACTGTTTTAATGTCTCATGTATATTTGTTTTGCTCTTTTAATGTCTCATGTATATTCGTTCTGCTGTTTTAATGTCTCATGTATATTTGTTCTACTGTCTTTTTCTCAAATGTATGTTTGTTCTACTGTTTTAATGTCTCATGTATATTTGTTCTGCTCTTTTAATGTCTCATGTATATTCGTTCTGCTGTTTTAATGTCTCATGTATATTTGTTCTACTGTCTTTTTATCAGATGTATATTCGTTCTGCTGTTTTAATGTCTCATGTATATTTGTTCTACTGTCTTTTTCTCACATGTATATTTGTTCTACTGTCTTAATATCGCATGTATATTTGTTCCACTGTCCTAATACTTAGGCTATATTTGTTCTACTGTCTTACTATCGATTATACTCCTCTGATGTATCAGTATATTTATTATATTGTCCTTATGTCCCATGTATATTTATTATAATTTTCTAATGTCCCATGTATATTTATTATACTGTCCTATTGTCTCATGTATATTTATTATACTGTCCTATTGCCACATGAATATTTATTATTTTTTCCTAATATCTCATGTATATTTATTAAATTTTCCTAATGACTCATGTACATTAATATATAATATAATATTAATGTACTAATATTTCATGCAGATTTATTAAATTGTCATTATGTCTCATGTATATTTATTAAATTGTCCTAATGGCTCATGAATATTTATTAGATAGTTCTCATGTCTCATGTATTTTATTATATTGTCCTTATGTCTCACACACATTTATTATATTGTTCTAATGTCTCATATATATTTATTATATTGTTCTAATGTCTCATGTATATTTATTATATTGTCCTAATGCCCCATGTATATTTATTATATTGTCCTAATGTCTCATGTATATTTATTATATTGTCCCAATGTCTCATGTATATTTATTATATTGTCCTAATGTCTCATGTATATTTATTATATTGACCAAATGTCCCATATATATTTATTATATTGTCCTAATATCCCATGTAAATGTATTATATTGTCTTAATGTCTCGTGTATATTTATTTTATTGTCCTATTGTCTCGTGTATATTTATTATATTGTCCTAATGTCTCATATATATTTATTATAATGTCCTAATGTGCCATGTAGATGTATAATATTGTCGCAATGTCCCATGTAAATGTATTACTTTGTCCTAATGTCTCGTGTATATTTATTATATTGTCCTAATGCCCCATGTATATTTATTATATTTTCCTTATGTCTCGTGTATATTTATTTTATTGTCCTAATGTCTCGTGTATATTTATTTTATTGTCCTAATGTCTCATATATTTTTATTATATTGTCCTAATGTCCCATGTATATTTATTATATTGTCCTAATGTCTCGTGTATATTTATTATATTGTCCTAATGTCTCATGTACATTTATTATATTGTCCTAATGTCCCATGTAAATGTATTGTATTGTTCTAATGTCTCATGTATATTTATTATATTGTCCTAATGTCCTATGTAAATGTATTATATTGTCCTAATGTCCTATGTAAATGTATTATATTGTTCTAATGTCTCATGTATATTTAATATATTGTCCTAATGTCCTATGTAAATGTATTGTATTGTTCTAATGTCTCATGTATATTTAATATATTTTCCTAATGTCCTATGTAAATGTATTGTATTGTTCTAATGTCTCATGTATATTTAATATATTGTCCTAATGTCCTGTGTAAATGTATTGTATTGTACTAATGCCTCGTGTATATTTATTATATTGTCCTTATGTCTAGTCGATATTTATTCTACCCTCAATCCGTCTAAAGCTATGGTTTACAATTTGATTGCGCCCTCTAGCATGCACAGTGAAGATTCAAGGAGAACGTTAAGAAATTGTGAAATTAGAGTTCTCTTGTCTGTTATGCTAAAATTATTTTTCACTTTAAATCTTTTTTTTTCCCGTTCAATAAATTATCTATATCTGCAAAGTGGCTTCTAGTATGAACTTCACTGTCCTTTGTAATTACGGTATATTTGTTATTCTGTCAAAATGTGTACGGTATGTTTGTTCTACTGTCAGAATGTATACGGTATATTTGTTCTACTGTCTGAATGTATACAGTGTATTTGTTCTACTGTCAGAATGTATACGGTATATTTGTTATACTGTCAAAATATATACGGTATATTTGGTAAACCGTCAGAATGTGTACAGTATATTTGTTCTACTGTCAGAATGTGTACGGTATATTTGTTCCACTGTCAGAATGTATACGGTATATTTGTTCTACTGTCAGAATGTATACGGTAAATTAGTTATACTGTCAGAATGTATACGGTAAATTTGTTATACTGTCAGAATGTCTACGGTATATTTGTTTTACTGTCAAAATGTACACGGTATATTTGTTCTACTGTCAGATGGTACACGGTATACTTGTTCTTCTGTCAGAATGTATACGGTATATTTGTTACACTGTCAGAATGTAAACGGTATATCTGTTATACTGTCAAAATGTATACGGTATATTTGTTCTACTGTCAGAATGTATACGGTATATTTGTTCTATTGCCAGAATGTATACGGTATATTTGTTCTACTGCGAGAATGTATACGGTATATTTGTTCTACTGTCAAAATGTATACGGTATATTTATTCTACTGTCAAAATATATACGGTATATTTGTTCTACTGTCAGAATGTATACGGTATATTTGTTCAACTGCCAGAATGTATACGGTATATTTGTTCTACGGTACTAGTGTTTATTTATTTGTGATTCTGTTGCTTAGTAAAGGACCTTTTTTACCACGATGGCGCCTTGAGCAAATGACGTAAGGAACATTTTTTGTCGACCAGTCGACGGGTGTTATGGTCAACTATACACAGGCCGCCTCTACTTCCCATGTCTTAGCCCGGTATCTATTTTAGTGTAGGTCTACTTTGGAGCCGGGGTCAGTTTTAGAGCGGGGATCTAACCCCATGACCGTCGTGCTGGATGTCAGCCTTACAGTTCAGTCTTCTATGTTAGAAGGATTCGGTGCCCACGGTGGGTGGTTTGTTAACAAAAATCGGTGTTTATACAGTGGTACGAGAACTGGGCCATGGAATAGTTTGGACCCGACGTTGTCGGCAGTAGAATCATTGCAGCCAACTTTTATTACGGTGTCGGGACAATTTGTCTGAATGTCTAAAGTATAGGTGATGTTATGTCCTTATGGCTTAAGTCTCTCCGGACGTCTAAAGTATATTCGTTTGTATTGGCTCAATGCTTAAAGTATATCCACTATAGTGTCCTAATGCTAAAGTCTATCCTGACGTCTAAAATATATTCCGTGTGTTGTCTTTATCCCAAAATATATCAATTTTAATGGTAATTAATTACATTTTTATTTTCCTAAATATATTTGTTCTGCTGCCTTCAAGCCTAAAGTATATTACAATGTGTTTGTGACGAATGTGTTACTATCCTACTGTCTAAATTAAATTTTTTAATATCTATTTTTATTTTATTTTATTTCAGATGTATCTGATCAACAGCTGATGACGTCAAAAGCACAGTAGTAAAAACGACATTGGATGTAGAATAAGGTTTTCGTCACGTCGTCGTATTTCATAAGTAAACACTTTTAATGACAGATAGGTTTGCTACATTCCTTATAGAACAGGCAGACACAGACTTTTCTGGCGAGTCTGTTATCACCCCCTGCTTCCATAAGGTAGACAGTCTTCGATCCATGAGGATTATTATCACATCACTCCGGACAATTCCATAGGTTCTCTGTTCTTCTCCTCAGTAGCTGCACAAGTGTAAAACAACAGATAACGCCTGTTCTGTGTTATAACTGTTATCCCTAAGGAAATGCCTATTCTTCAGTAGAACAGTCTTTGATTCACACGTGAAACGAATGGACGTTAGAGGGATTCTGTCGCGTTGTTGCAAAAGGGGACAGATACGAGGAAGGTGTACACAAATGGGTACAGTTATTGAGACCTATTCAATGTTGCTGTCTGCAAGTCAACCTAGGGTGAATCGAAGAGAGATCATGCATGTGTATTTTTATAATACCTGTTACAGGGGTAAAAGCACAAATTAATGCTAATTCAGCTTGTTCCAGTGAGCTGCGATTCTGGTGTGAGACCGTTAGTGTTGGTACACCTGACAACTGCCTTGTGTATTCTCTACCTAACATGTGAAAGCTATAACATTTTGCTAGGACTCACAAGATTTTCACTAGTTTACCAGGGACAGTGAAAGATATTGCGTATGATTTACCCCCTCATCTGAACGAAGTTGATATGGGACGAGTCTTCTGCACTGGTGCTGGAATCTTGACTAACTTATTATGGAATCTTGACTAACTTATGATGGAATCTTGACTAACTTATGATCAACTTCTTTCAAAATTAGGCAACAGCCAGACTGCAAACCTAGCGAAGTTAGCTACATCATGTCATTACTTTAGCAACAGCCATAACAGATCCAGAATGGAGTTTGAACCGAGTGGTTTGTCCGATGCTCACTTCGTCACTCCGATTGAAAAGGACTTCATCAACACCACGCTGTCAGCTCTTAATGTTACAGGTGACAGCGAGGACGAAGGAGAAGATGATTTCGAGAGGTTGGTAGGGATTATTATTCCCGTCATCTTCGGGGTCATCTGCGTTTTAGGATTCTTCGGGAATGTGCTGGTTATCATGGTTATCTTAACTGACAAACAGATGAGGAACACAACGAATGTGTTGATACTTTCGTTAGCAGTAGCTGATCTTCTTTTCATCGTCTTCTGTGTGCCCTTTACAGCAACGTTTTACACTCTGCCTGTTTGGCCATTTGGAGCTATCTGGTGTAAGACGGTGATATACTTAATGTATGTTTGTGCGTACGCTAGCATGTACTCGCTAGTGATCATGTCCTTGGATAGATATCTGGCGGTCGTGCACGCCATACGTTCTATGACTTGGCGCTCGGAAAGAAATACGTGGCTTGTTGTTGCTGCCATCTGGATCATTTTCCTTTGCGGAAATATACCAATCTTTAAGCAGTGGGGTGTGATTAATTACAATTACTTTGGCGAGAATCGAACCAAATGTTTTCAGATTTCGTTACTTGAGGATGACTATCAAGCTAAGGCGTTTTTCGGCAGTTTCTTCTTCTTTGGATATGTCTTCCCGCTAGCAATCACCTTGTTGCTGTACGGACTCATGCTGAAGCGACTTCTCTATGGCGTCGTCCCTGGAGGTCGTAATCAGTCTTCAGAAAGCATGAGAGCCAAGAAACGTGTCACCAGAATGGTAGTTATTGTAGTGATCATCTTTGCTCTTTGCTGGTTACCACTGCAGATCTGCCTGTTTCTCCAACATATAATTGGCGTAGAAGTTGGCGTTTCTCTGGCAAGTATAACAATAGCCGCCAATTGCTTTGCGTACATGAACAGCTGCGTCAACCCGATTCTTTACGCATTTCTCTCCGGTAATTTCCGCCGCAGTTTCCGGCGATTTCTATGTTGCTCGGACAGATCTCAGAGAATGGATTACGAAAGGACAAACATCCGTTTTACTGTGACAGAGAAGGAAACAAACAATACTAAATCTACTTGTGTTAACAACTCTAAAACGTACACAGCCGTATAACTATTACCTCCCTTACTTTTTCAGTCTCTGATACACAGAATTGCGGCACAGCATGGAACATTAACCACTATTCGAACTCCAAGGACACACGATCTGACAAGATAAATACCCATTTGGATATCGGTAAATACTCTTCATCCTATGGCAGAACGTTACTCTACTGTTGCACGATGGAGAGCAACTGAATTCTTTTCCAACTGCCCCACCTCGTTAACTTTCAGACCAGAGAGTCCGCGATATTCTGCGTCAACCATAGTGCTAGTCGACCCCTGTCTGCACTTCTGGGAACTATACCTTCTATTACTGTTCTCTCTAAACCTTTATGTTAAATATTGGTTTCAGTATTTTAGTTTTACGAGAAACAGTGCTGTCTGCCAACCACTTCCCTCTCAGTAACGAAAAACAGTGATGTCTGCCAACCACTTCCCTCTCGGTAACGAAAAACAGTGCTGTCTGCCAAGCACTTCCCTCTCGGTAACGAAAAACAATGATGTCTGCCAACCACTTCCCTCTCGGTAACGAAAAACAGTGCTGTCTGCCAACCACTTCCCTCTCGGTAACGAAAAACAATGATGTCTGCCAACCACTTTCCTCTCGGTAACGAGAAACAATGATGTCTGCCAACCACTTCCCTTTCGGTAACGAGAAACAGTGCTGTATGCTAACCACTTCCCTTTCGGTATTCGCATCGCGAGAATGCCAGTATTTTTCGTTGGCTTGGTCCATCACAAGCATTTGTGAAAGGAAACAAAATATAATAAAAACTGAAACACCTATTACATACAGAAATCTATGAACTTGGGGTCCTAACGTCTTCTCTCGTCACGCTCATTTTTTCATAGTGACCACCCCAATACGAGCAGGACTGAATTGTCTGACATCACGGGTTCTCGTTGACATTGCAATATGCTGACGTGGTTCACCTCAGCAAACTACAGAACCCATACATTTGATGACCGAGTTTTGACAGCGAGTGACGGTTAAATCAAGACCGACGCCGGTCGTGTTTAAAACCCAACAGAACTGCACAGTGAGCGATTAACAAGATTCACAAGATGCCACCATTCAGAATTTGAATCCAACCGGAGAAAGTTCAAGAAACCCCTTTCAAAGTCAAAGAGAACAAGTCCTGCCCAAAATGGTGACCCTTCAAGATAAACTATAGAGCTCAGTTGAAGACCACAAGCGCAGTGCGACATTTATCAGAGGAGGAAAGATACAGGAAATTAATTTCATATTCGTATATTTTGCTACTGTTGTCTTAAAAAAACCACAGTGATTGTCTGAAGACTTAGGCATTCATACAGAGATTTGTTCAGTCAACCTGGAGTCTGCAGTAGGATCGGGAAAACGCGGAATCTGTTCTTTATATTCTTGTGTAGATATTGTTTTAATTTCAAAATTTCTCCATACCAGTCCCCGTGGATAAAATACTGTGGAAAGTCTGCTTACCAGTTAAAGCCAAATTTCAGTCTGCAGTATGAATTTATGTCGGATCTGTGGCTAAGTCGATACGAACGCTTCGTAACGCCGGGATTTCGGGTTCGATCTCAGCTGCGGGCCTTGCGTTGGTTTCGACAGTGTTATGAAGAAAGCTGACCGTCCAGAAAGCAATGGCAAACTACTGGACGTAAAATTTGCCTACAAAAACCACACAACAGCTCCTGGGGTTGATTCTGCAACGTCCTGTAAAGGATACGCAACTAACCAGTATGAATTTATGTTGCATATTGCATCGTCCCATATGACAGATATTTCTTTACTGGATCTGAACTCCCAGACACCTGTGTATAGTCTGGCCCTCTACCTAATACATATTTGACCACAGAAACTTAACGTACGTTATTTGCATATGTATATGTTATTTATATATCTATGGTATGTGTATTTTTATATTAACAAAATTTGTCTGTCTGTGTGTGTGTATCTCTCTCTCTCTTTCTCTCTTTCTCTCTCTCTTTCTCTCCCCCCCCTCTCTCTCTCTCTCTCTCTCTCTCTCCTCTCTCTCTCTCTCTCTGCTCTGCCTCTCACCGTTTGACTGTACATAGAAAGATGCTTTCAGTGCCAAATGTGTGTACTACGTCTATTGCGCTGTTGAAGACAGTTGATATGTTAGTGTTTTTTGTTTCTGAACTTTATACCTGAAATTATGTGCTGAATGGATATTGGGTTTACATTTAGGATGTGTATGTACATACGTTCTGATGCTCTTATTTTCATGAATTTATAATTGCGATTGTTATCTGTCAAACTTAATAGTAAAGCATTACAAACACAACCCATCCTTCAACCACACCAGCCCTCCATCTCTCGGTAAGACGAATTCGCTGTTGGGTACAAGTTCTATTTTTGTAGACCAGTTTCCTTTTTCGGGTGGTTTCTGTAGAATGTTGGCTATTGAAGACGATAAAACACAGAAAATTGAAATATTTTGGTCACAATAATCGAGAGGTATATGCCTGGGAAGAGGAAGGCCAAAGAGAAGATGGGTGCAGGATGTGGCAGATGATCTTCAGATGAGTGTATCGGACGCGGGACATCTTGCTTGTGATGAAGAAGTTTTCGGGAAGGTTGTTATGGGAGCAAGGTTCTGCAAAGGACAGGCTACGGACTGAGTGGTTGTATCTTTGATACCCCAACCACATTTACTTCCAGTGACATTACCTTCTGCCAGCGGGTAATTTCAGGCATGAAACCCTCTATTGTGG